AAGATTGAATCTATCCTCTCATGGCTCAATCTCAAGGACTCAGATCACGATCCTGCACAATTCAATCACCAAACACAGTAAAAACAAGCCACAATCAATCGTATTCCACACAATCCTAATCCGAGAGCCTATGGTCACGCACTCACCTTTGCAAACGGATTGAAACGAGGAAACAAGGCACTCCCGACACGACCCGAACAGAAGGGAATAACTCGTGACTCCCTTTACCAAATCAAGGTCTGAAACCTGATCTGGAAACTAGACACCAAGAGCTTCGCAACGGTGTATAGAACGTCTCCTAACTCCAAACAGATCGACGGAAAAACAGCCTGAAATTTCGCTAATCGAAACTGGAAAAACAGAGATTTCAGAAACAACACCCTGAAATCAAACGAACACAGAGAACGGATATTACCTCCAAATCAGGATCCGAAACCTAATACAAAAACTAGACAGAGAGAGCTTTCCAACTGCATAAGGATCGTCTCATGATTCTCTCTGGTTCGAGGGAATCCTCCTTCGAAGTGGACTGATCGCAGACTCGAGACTGCAGAAACCTCACACAATCCAACGGCCATAACTCAGCGAATACTCATCCAAAAGGCACGCGGTTTTCACCCACATCAAGAGAAAAGATAGGAGAACTTACCCTCAAAGTTTCACTCTGATCCGATCCGATCGTCCCCACCAATCATCTCCTCCAAAAATCCGAGCAGAACTGTTTCTCTCTCAAGAAAAACACTTCTCTCACAAAACTCTCTAAAAACTCTTTCTCTGATCAAATTTTCGGCCAACCCCAAGAGAAAACGCTTTTCTCTGCTTAAATACGGAACCCTAGGTTCCCTAAACCAACCCAAACCAAACTCGATCAGAAATCAAAACCACACGGTCCAATTTAAGCATGTGTCGCTTGACACAAACCTCTTGTGTCGCGCGACACAGCTCCAGCAAACAGATTCCTTCGCGAATTAAACACACGTGTCAATCGACACACAACCAAAATTCACATTTTTGGTTCACGGGCGTTACAATACTACTTAGTTGTTTTTTAAAATATGTATCTTTATATATTAACTAGATTAGCACCCGCCTTGATACACGACTAAAGACATTAAAATTTATTGATATAAATATTTAAATTTTAATTAATAACCTTCTAAATTACTAAAATATTTTGAAATACTATTGAAACAAGGCTCTTATATCATTAAAGATCAATTTATATTTAAGATGATTTCAAATCACATACATAGTTATGAGAAGAAATAAAATATTTTTATCAATTATGAATATATATTAATTATTTGATAAATCATAACAAAAATTCAAATATCAGAAAGTTAAATAAGAAAATAATAAATTTCATGTAAATAATCTCATAAAAAAAAACTATAACATCTTTTATAAATAATTTTACTAAACATCACATATAAATCCATGATTGATAAATGTATCTTTTTTATAGAGATCTATATGCGCCAAATCTTAAACACTCTTGGATCTTAATAGTAAATATATTATTATTACTCTATAAAAAATTTCCTTTTTTAATATTGAAAAGTACCATTACGGTCATTGGTAGAAGATTTTATTTTCATTGTAATATTCTATAACTATCTTGACAAAATGAATATGCTTATAGATTTTGTTTTATTTGGTATGGTTGTGCATATCTTAAAATTTTAAATTAAGATTTTTATATTATTTATAATATTTATTTTTTATTATATACAATTTCTTTTGTTTTACTTTTCGCCTTTCTATGATTCTTAATTAAAATATCTATTTTCTCTCTACTTTTTGTTTTTACGGTTTACATTCTCTTTATTTTCTTTCTTAATTTTTTTTAATAATTAGTTTGAACTATTATAATCTTTTGTTTTCCCCTGATTAGTTTGGATTATTAGAACTTTTCCTATTTCCTAATTTAGTTTGAACTAGAATAAAATTTAACGCAGGTAAACACATTAAAAATTATTGATAGAAATATTTAAGTTTTAGTTAGTAATCTGTTGAATTACAAATTAAAAGATTATTTAAACATGAGTCTTAAATCATTAGAGATCAATTTATTTTTTAATTCTCATGTCTTAATTTATATAATGCAAACCC